CTATTCAGATATTGTCGAATTCGTTGAAACATTTAAAAAAACAGCGGCTTTGTAAGATAAGGCAATTCCATAACTGAGTGTAAGACAAATTTCGAGAGCTGAGCCTTTTACAACTGCGACGAATTAATAGACCGTATTGTCATGCTAAAAAAAAAAACTGCTAGCCAATAGCAAACGGAGTAATTACACTAAAATAACTAACTTAATTAATTAAATCGCTTACCGTTTCAGGGAATGACGTTATAATAGCTTTATGCAGAAACAATATTCTTTCTACCAAACATACCCTGGCCTAAAAATTTCAGATTCACGATGTAGCAAGCTGATGGTAAACAATGCTGATTGTGATTTATGTCTGTTTCAAGCTGTTCCGAAAACGCGCAGTTTTATCATTTATAAGTATTGTTAGGTTAATCGTTCCGTAATAAAATCTAGTGAGTCGTGTAAAATAAACCATATCTAAAAAAGGTGAACTTTTTGCATACATTAACTAAAATTAGTAATTATTTAGATTCATCTGTTTGAGACCTATAATACTCGTAAAAATCGAATAGGGGTATTAATAGGATGATGTAGACTGCGAGGAGGTAGGTTCTAATTGAAATGGTTGTGAATGATGGAAATCACAAGCGATCGACTAGTGCAATAAAGGAGTAAGCTTGAACAAATTACTTGAAATCTCTAAATGTATATGTATCAATAATCATATTTCAAAAATTCACGAAAAACTAGAGCGCACTTCCGTACTTTATCCACCTAGAGAAAAATTCAAATTCCACAAAATGTATTTTCTTTCTAAAATCTATCAAGTGGCAAACTTTCTAAAACAATAGCTTGTTGCTCGTTTATAAACTGTTACAAAGGTACAAGTGACAATAATAAACACTTTGTCAAACTATTCGATAGTCTGTTACACCGTCTTTTGAGCATTCACGATGTAACGATCTTCGGCCTGTCTTCGAGCGTCTTTTTCTTGCCTATCACAATCCTCTAGTACTGTTACTGTTATATAGCAGTGCAATTCCTCTGGGGTTAGCGATGAAGATCAACAGCTTTTACGTACGCCCCACACCAGCTCATTCTACTATCTTGTCAGGGTTCTTGAACGACGACCCTCGCTTAGTGAATGTGAAATACAGATCATTCAAGCTTGCGTCATATGTCACTAGTACGCACTGAGTGCCTTTATGCGTATACTTGAAAATTCTAATTTTGTGTAAACGTTAACAAGATCATATTAGATAAGAGACAAATTTCAGATAATATGGTTGGAAACAATGCTTCCAGCAATCAAATGTCAAAGTTATGATATCGCAGAGACATAGAAACGACAGTTCTGCGCACTCTGTAATACAGGTCCGATTCACCGGGCAGAAGCATTTTTTACTTACAGGTTATGCTCTGCATACATGTACTTATTTGCCTATCTCGGAAAAAATTAAAATGGAGAGAATGACACCTTTAGTTCGGATGCGATGTTTATTTTATCTGGTCGCCAGTTACTTGCCTGCTTAGATGGAAGGGCCGAACCAGCGGTAGGCAGAGCAGATCGATCTGGTGGCTCGATCGGTGTCTGAGGTGTGTGCCTATGAGTCTAACGTTAATCTTTTATATGAACGAACCTCAGGAAACTCTTTAAAGTGGGAATTGAGCAAAAGGCTATGCAGAGTCTCGTTCCTTATGGACAATACTGTACAAATAATATACTGTAAATATAATTCTTTTTTACGGACGCCTGTTATGTACACAAGTCCACGCGGTGGAGGACTCTATAAGGTAAATATGAGCATCAGCGGAGAAAAAACTCTGATAATGACTGAAGTGCGTTAGACATATATGTAAGTTGTTGCATACGATAATAAGGATTAGTATACATATACTATTCCTTATTGGCAATAGGCAAAGAAAGGGAAGAGCACACTGTTATTTACAGTATGTAGAAGAAGCCATAACTATAAGCACTGAAAACGCTGCGTGCCAGTCTTACATCGTAGTGTTGCTCGGTTCTTAGTCTACAGCTTTTTCTTAGACCAAGGTAATTAAATGAAGAGACGGTCGGGACCTATTTTTCGTGGAAAAGCCACTGTGACAATACTGCGAAGCCTATCTTCAGGAGAATCTATGCCAACCTTTTTCTCGTTGATAGACAGAGAACTTAGACCTGAATAATGAGCAGCATAACTAAAATTTGTTTGACGCATATCTATTTATTTATAACAAAATCGGAACTAAGTAGGTTTAATTTTCTAATAATTATTGAATTAATTTTCATATGTTACTCGAAAGATCTGCCTGTCTAGCAATATAGCAAAGAGTAAAAAGACATTCTGAGGCTCTGAAACATGCACTACGAATTTCTTAAAATGACAAAATTCGGTCGTGAAACTTTTCTTCTTCTGACACAGGGAGTACGCTGGCTGTTCACGGCTTATTGCATACTCTCTCGTTTATGCCTAATAATATATATGAATTTACCCAACATACCTCTACATGTACTAGTCCCAGCAACTCCGCTTGCTCTTTCCTTTTTTCTGTGACCGGTTTATGCGTTGGATACTAGAGGCCAAAATTGGAAAAGTAAATGTATGATACTGTGCCTAAGTGCTGTGTGGTGACAATAATAATATCCTTAAATGGGTTCGACGTGAGCTGTCATTAAGGAGGCTATATCACTCAATCGATCTCTCAATCGTTTCTGTTAATACTTGCCCGTTTACCCTATCTGCCTTCCTATAGTATACTTCTTCCGACAGTATATTTCACCGCATATAGTGTACCGCCAACAGATAAGTTGCAACTTTTCGTTGCGGTAATTTTGGACGCGGGGTCCCCATTCAGATTGGTTGAGGAAAACTGAGCATATTTGTGGCCTCAAGCCAGCCGCTATGTCTGGGATAAGTACCCAGAAGAAACAGATAATCACTTCTATTTCCCAATCATTCCTTTGCGCTCTCTTCAGAATTGACGGCGGACTACTTGGTTAGTAAATCACGAGAGACGTTGACGATAGTCGAAAACGATATTACCTTGTCATTTTTTTTTGCGGTTTTTGTGGGTTGTCTGTATAATGCTATGTATACATTGATGTGATATCAAACGTTTGCCATCGATAAAATTAGTCATAGAAATACAGCAGAAAAGAGAAACTGATGCGGAAGGCGAATGCGTACTAACTGAAATAACTCTGTGTTGCTAGTTAATGAAACAATCTGGCCATTGCTCGACCTTCTGGGGGGCAGCATTGAACCTTCAAAGATAAATTCAGTAACAGTGTAGGATTCACTTGCCTTGTAAATGAGACAAAACCTGACCGTGTCCAAGCTCAACCTAATATATACACTATGGTAGGTTCGCCTGACATCGTAAGAGCAACTGTGACCTAAAAGAGCATTATAGCTTATTTAAGAAAAGCATAGCCTTTTGAGGAACCTTTAAAAAAACTATTATTTTATATGTCCAGCTCGCAGAGTTTCATAATTACAGTCCTACATTCAATAGTGTATCTTAATTCCATGTCACTCTAAAAATGAAACTAAAGATCTTTACATAGCGTTTCTAATGAATTTTTAGTAGAGCAGCTCAAGTGTTTTTGCTCTTGTAAAGATAAGCATGATCGCAACGAAGGAATGGCTAAATACAAGCTGGACACAACATTGCCTTCCCCGATCATTAATGACAGTTGGCTGAATAATTGTCTCACATCTCTTCCTGCGTTTTTTTGTGAACTACTTTTTCGGTGTCGTGCGTATTTTTACCTTTGGCACGAGACAGCAACTTATGATGTAAGCACACAGAAGCCCATGCATACTCGGGCAAAGCATATGGGTTAGCTATGCAGATGCGGGAAGTGACAGCATCGACAGGCTTCAGCGGCGCTCATTGGTCCATCAACAACTATCTGCCACATCACACCTCAGCGTGGGCATCATCTGTTACGGCTTGCCTCCTGAGCCTCTAAAAAGAGGTGATGCAGGTTCTCATCGTCTTAAACTCAAACCAACTCGTTTCTCTAGCGAGCTAGCTAGAGATAAACAGCCTGGCAGGCGTTCGATGTTTATGAACTTCAACATAACTAAACTGCTTCCTTCAGATACCTTGTTGAGTGGTCGGCACGGCAGTACTAGTCGTCTAGGCGACAGCCTGTGTCCTTGGTGCACAAGCCTCGTACTTACAAGCTTATAGTCTATCGCAGTAACGAATGAAATTGCCTCCCTCTGTCAGTTTTGATGGAAAGAACGGCGCAACGAAGGACCCCGCTTGTGAACAAGCCCATTATCGAGCGAGTCTAACGTTTGCTCAAGAGTATTTTACCTCGGATCGGTAGAAGCTCATCTGACAGGGGAGCAACGCAACGTACTGATCGGTTAAAGGTCGGCAAAGGAATAGTAAGTTCTGAAACAATCCAACTTTAGCTTCGACTTCAAAAATAAACGAATCGTAAATATATACCAATGTTTCAAATAATGCTGTTTATTATATCTTCGCAAAGATCGGCTCTTTTAGAATTTTCGGTAAAATCATTGCCGAAATTGGTTTGTTACGATAGCTTTAACAAGGATGTTTTCTTCTTTTCGTTTCGAAAACATTCACTCAGACATATAGTGCCTACCGTTTGTTCTGAAATTATGAACAAATTTGGGCTTTTTATAGTCCGCTTCTCCGACCATAGCCAAATAAATTGGTTCAATATGGCACTCACAGCACAGCACAGCACAGCACAGCAAGCATCTCATCTCAATCCATCAATTTTATGGAACGAACACACGTGAAAGTGAAGAGGGGCTAACGCTACTGCCAACGGTTTGATTCTCTGACCCCTGAGCACTGGACGAAGGATGGTAACCCCAGCCCCTTGTTACCGTCAAAAAAAACAGACGCATTTAGCACGTGCCACTATTACAAGATAATACGCGAATGCTAAAAACCTTCCATAGCGGCAGCAGCGACAACAAAATAATAGGAAGTCGCGCGACGGGGGCCACTTTCTCTCCCCGAAAACTTTCGCTCTGCTAAGATAACGCAGTTAAACAAACATTGACCTTAAGCATATTTATTGGACTCAGGAAAAAAGTTCAGATTGGTTGAAAAACGCTCCTAAAGCAAGCTGAGACACATCCATATCTGTGTCAATTTATCGACATTTCCTACGTAAAATTACCTACATATAAGTTACGTTGTTTGCAGAGTATTTGGCCGCGAATATGGTGAGCTATCCAGGGCTGGAGTAAGTAACTTGAGATAAGCTCATAGACTTTAACGAAATTTACTGCATACTTATGTCTGTATAGTTCTGTAGTAGGGACGTATGTTTATAATAACTTCGCTTTAGTGTTGTTTATTTTAAATAAGGTTCTTAGATAGCATTTAAAAAATACTGTCGCCTTTTTTTTTTTTGACTACTCTGTACATACAGTGGATAAGATGTCTCGATAGCGTCGCTTCATGAGAGTCCATCATGCATATGCAGCTATGGACTGGAAAAGTACGTAAAGACACTGCAGCCACCTTGTGGAAACGAAGTATGATTATAATTCGCTCAAATCTTTTACTTAACACGACTTCATATTAAGAGAGAAAAGAGAGTTTTTTTCTTTCTTCTTATCTCGTTTGTAGCGTTTTATATATTGTATAAACTATATCAGAACCGTAACTTTCATTAATGAAGCAATTTCAAACTTATTGTCGATCTTCTTCTAGTTATACCTTTGCTAATTTGTTGCATTAACGCCAAAGAGGAAAGTGGAAAATACTTTCTAAACAAATACGCTATTAAAGATGTCCAACTCTTGGACGAGAGTGTCAGCCTCCAACCGGACAAAAAAATAGCATATGTGAGTAGTTTTCATACCGGAGAGGACATTAGGAGTAATTTAAAATGAAGACGTTTGAAGCATCCGTTGTGTGACGAAGATCGGCCTATCACTGCGAAACTAGGTAACAGGTGTGAGAGGAAACGCGCTATTTTAGAAGAAGGAATTTGTCTACATTGATAACTGTAGCATTTTCGTGGAGTGAAAAATGACGCGTTCGGAAACAATTAGTATCGACTTTAATTTAACTTCGTTGGGTGGTCAAAAACGGTATATTTCGATTAGGTAATGGGCACAATAAATGAATGGAAAGTTACCCTGTGGATAGCAAGTTAATTTGCCCTGTGTTCTGTTACTGCAGAATTTACTTTGCGGAATTGCGTAGGTGAGCAGGCCGTCGGAGAAAAGATCAGACACCGGCGTTAGTATAATTGGTTTTTAGTACGCCATTAACACCACTACTGCTTAATGTTGGCCTATAAAGACTAATGAAAAATGTTATAGAAGGATGTCATAATACATATTTAGCAAATTTTCCGCCAAACAAAATTGTGCCAACGACAACGAAGTACGAGCCGTATGGGATAAAACAAAAACACGCATTCTTTTCAAATTGTCAATGTTAATTATGCATGTTAACGTTTAGAAGTAAACGCAAGTAACAGTGTTTACTTATAAATGTATTGTAGTTGTATCGTTGATGAAGATCATTGTCCATTCAGATTGACGATGATTACCTGTGAAGGTCTGATTTTGTATAGGGCTCGTGGTTCGAGGTCTTCGCCACTGATATACATATGCGGCCGTATGGTAGCTGACGTCTAGCTCAGCCACTCATTCGCCTCCTAGCTAGCCCAATTGAAGGGTGAGTTCTAATTCCCCGAGGCCCGACGATACCGGCCCGTGTCGCCGGCAATACCATTGTTGGATGCGTCAGTTACCATATGCTGTACGTACGGGTGCAACGACGTGCTCCCCCCCCCCCCCCCCACTGATTCTGATACCCACGTAAAAAGAGTAGCATTAGCGTTAGCATCAGCATGTGTAGTATCAAAACATCATAGAACAGCCGCTGCCGCTAAAAACAGCTTTTGGATCATTTTACCCATTCGACCATAATTACTTTCAAAACATTTCTTTTCCTAGCATATATATATATATATAGCTGTGAAAAGAAGTCAGAAGAGACATATACAGGCACAGAAATTATATAAAATACTGAATGGGCAAATATGACCCCTTATTCCGAACAACACTTTACTAATAATAGTAAGCACATACATACGTACTAAATCGCTTAGTAGGAGAAAGTGGCTTTAACAACACAATATTTTCACTTTGGAAGCTGTAAAAAAATAATAGGAAATAATAGAGACCCATCGTTGTCTCTGAAAGAGCGCTTTATTTTATGTTCGAACGAAGTTATTAGATGGGAATAGAGGTGTTCGACTCGAAACTCTATTATAGTGTTTTCAACAATCACGGTCTACAGTATTTCAAACTGCAGGTTGCATAGATATTAGTACTTTACGCGAGCTGCAAACTTTCTGCCGACAGGCTTCCATAATTTAGTAGCTTTTGATGCCAAAGAAAATCCATGAGGTATCAGGGTGTCGGTAACTTGTCTGTCTAGACAACTCAATTTTGTCAAAATCTGCAATTATATCGCTCGGTCAAATCACTACTTCGGCTAAGTTAAGCCAGTTCAGTCTGGACTACCATATAGCTGCCAGTACACTACGGGTTACAATAGAACATATATATGGGGTGTATGATTCGTGTTGCGTGACCATGCTACCCTCGTATTTCTCCCTGCTTCCACCACGCCGTTGTTTCTCTCTCTCTCTCTTTTCCCATCCAGGTCCTGCGGCTTTCTACGGACGTGTCCGGGCGTGTCTCTCGTCGCTGTAATGCCCAGACGGTGACCTCCCATCCGCAACAATCGTCGCGGCCTTCCACTCAAACCCCCGTACCCTCATACACCCGCGACAGACAGCACTTGCAACCTGACTGAGTGACTGATTGAGCCTAATTGAGCTGTAGCGACAAGTGGCGGACGCCATTCGTATACGGGACGGGGGAAGTAATACCGGTCTCAGGGATGCCCCCCGCTTCGCCTACAACCGCCGGTTTTGATCGAGCTGATGGCCGTACTAATTGCTGAAAGTGGCGCTTCATTTGCTATATGGAACGGGAAGCACAGTGTTGTTGTTGTTGTTGTTGTTGTTACCGTTATACATCACACCGCTATCGCGCAGCGACAGCAGCTAGAGGTGTTCAGGAGGGCGTAATGCTAGGGGACTGAATTGTTGAACTCTGCCAAGCTTTGTTTACTGTTAATGATTAAAATCATCATTGATATGATGCGTACGGCTTAATGACACCGAGTTCGGCAACCTGCTCTACTTTTTTAGGTACTTATAATAAACATATCTTTATATAGGAATATATTGTTTGATAGCTCTAGCTATGTGTTTTGCAATGGAGAATAATTTTTTTTCCGTCAAAAGCCGTACATAAACTCTTGCTCTTTTTTAGCTTCACAAACTAATGTAAAATATATATATTATATCAAGCTGCGATAGCAAAACCATAACTCCTCAAGGTACTTGATATGGCACTAATTTATCCGAAAGAGAGCTTGTGTCCCTTTGCTTTCTGCTTCTATATAGATGATTCTTGCAAAAGAGAAAAACAATCTGACGCGCCTACATAATACCATATCTCAGTACGATATAGCAGAAGTCACTTTTATCACTACTTGTCGGCTACACGTAGTAAGGTAAGATAGATTCACGGATCTCTATTAGAATTCTCAAGAGCCTTCCTCTCGATCCAAGAGTCTCTGTTCCGCCTAAGACTCAGTAACGTACATACCTGCGATTGCATTTCTTGCTACAGCAGCAACATAATTACAGCGTAATTACCGTTTGCCAGTTAGTCTGTGGCGTGAAACGATGCTGGCGTGCGACAGATCTGCCGAGAGACCCAGCCTTCTTAGGATGGAAAGAAGAGACCCCGAAACAAACGAATGCCGAGTTGTTCTTGGAATAACTCCTTCGTTCTAACGAATGCTTCCATGCTCAAAGAGTGACTGCTCAAATTAGGCTAGGGGGGTAAGACCTGATCCAGGAATGGAGCCAGCTTGCTACTCGTATGTCAAACGACGCACGTTACCGGAATGCAGGGATACGTATAAGGGCGCTCGCTCCTGAACAACGTTTTAGAAGCAAATGCTGCTTGTCTGGCTTTATCTTGCTGTCCACAAGAAGGATGGTGTAGCTATCCCCCCAAACGAGTGCCAGTCGGTTTGTTTCACGTCCTGGGGGAGGGCTCATCTACATTTTAATAACCCTCTTTGGCAGACTCGGTCGAAAGGAATACGCATTAGTGCTGCAGGCCAGAGCGGCAGCTTTCTCAATCGGCCGCAACTGCCGCTGGAGACTACTGCCATATGTATTATATACGATAATTAGGCATCTGACTTTCCAAACTGTATGAGTTTTTCGTCTGTTCGGACGAGAGCATAAGTTACTTTTGTGATTTGCTTCGCTACTACAGAGGCCAGCGCTCCTACTCGCACAAGCGGGGGTGTGTGTTCGCCTTCTCGACACTGCCATCGCTATACTGAGCCGCTAATTCAATCTTGCTGATTGGGTTTTGGCAATCGAAAAAAAGCACTAAATCAAGACCAAAAGGTAGAATAGTCAAATCACTAGAAAGACTAGTTATACAACTTCACGGAACATTTCGGTTTTGTATTAGATATTGTATAAGAAGAAAGCTGAACCCTTGGGAAATGTCCGGGGCAGTTTTCGTAATGAATGGGTGATACGCGTCGATAGTCGTGTGTTTAGCATCAATACGTCTGGGCATAAATACGCACGATTCCATACGTTTAGCAAACGCTTTATGGCGCCTTAGTGTAACAAAATGGCGTACAAACATGTACTCAATGTTCCCTCTGCTATGCAACATACAGACAGCAGACGGTAACATCGATGCAGCCAGTAGTCTTCCTGTTGGAACAGCATCCAACAAGATATATGTGTATGCCAGTATGTCGGTATCAGTTCGTGCTAGACATTCGTCATAGGATCATCATTCGATGTTTGTTTTACCTTTGGGGCTTCGTCGTCTATTCTGGCCAAGTTTTTCGACGATTTGAAACAAGCCAATGAGCAATGAAGCGTAAATCGGCCGCGGCTCTAATAGCAGGATAGTGCGGGTAGGATCAAATGAAGATTGCCTCCAAATGTGTTGCCATCGTGTCCTGGCGAATTCGATCACAAATCTGCCTTATCTCAATCTGTGTTTTCGACAAAGGCTTACCTTAGGCCGAATTTCAATACCCAAAGATGCAACACACCCCAATTATGAATCCGCCAGTCCACATATAAATAGTAGATAACGCTAGAGCAAACGTGTACCATTCTTGGCAGCTAAAGTGTTTAGCAACTAAGGGAAAACGCACGCCCTTTTCCGATCTTGCGAAAAGCTGGATCATATGAGAATAGCATTTTTAAGGGCACTATAGCCATTTTAGCCCCCTTTTCCCCTGCTTGGTAATCTCAAAATTTTCCCTAGCGACCGTTGTCAACCGATTCGTTTCTCTTCTATAATATATCCTTGTCATTTTGGCAGGTACAAATAAGGACGGGCTTGAAGAAAGGTTACAGCCCCCTTCTATCCCTCTGCTTCCCTATACTTACGCTAAGAGGCGTCTCGGTCTTCAACAGCAACTTGCGGCTCATACCAATGAGAGAGCAGCTATCATATTGTAATGAATAGTCAAGTACGACCAGCGGTAGAGAATGCTGCTGAGCCAACCGATTGGGAAAAAGCAAACCGCGCACAGAATGACAACTCTCAAGAAGGACCAGCATGCGGTAGGTTTGCAACGGAGTTGTTTGTTCGAACTTGCGCCCTTTACTGCTGCTGCTCCTGGAGAAAGACAGGCAGTTTGTTTTGGCCTCACTTTATCATTTATCGACTTGGCCGTATGCAATATCAGAATAGGTTCTTATTATTATGCCTACGACGAAAATGTCGAAAAGCTAGACATTATAATCTATATATCGTAAGGAAACGCAGTCGACGAGGTCAGCGAATGGTGATCGTGCCTGCTAGGCACGTCGAGTCCAAGAGCTGCCAGCTATCAATACGTAGGACGATAAGATCTTTCTTGTAGAAAAGGGTGTCTACTGGATAAATTTTAGGTTTTTGTATACGCAAAACGTGTCCCTTAGAAAATTATAGCTTAAGAATTTCCTAAAACAGTTGTGCAAACGACTATTAAAAAGGAAATCTGCAATCATTTGGTGAGTACCGCTTCAGTTATATAGAGTTTAGCCTGACGCTAACCTTGTTTAGCCTGTGTGGGACATAAACATGAAAACGTTTGATTGTCAATCACCTTGACATTTAATATTAAAAGCCTTGGTAATCCACAGCATTCGTGTTTTTAGCTTAACTTGTGTTAACTTTATGGATTCCTTGAAGTTCATGTCGGAGTAACGACTGTGCCTTTCGAAGTTCCTACATTCATTTTATTGTAATTTTCTCAGCAAATCATTTGAAACCAAAGTTCTTAGGGATGGGTAATTATCGTCAAATAGCTAGCAAAAAGTTTTTAGCGTCAAATCGCCAATTTCCGCGCGAATCGTTATAATACTCTGCGTCTGCCTTGGGACTGGATCTTGTTGCGTTTAGCGCGGCTGAAGCGTCATCAGGACGTACTGCAGCCGTTGAGGCTATCAATAATTGCACGATACAAGAAATATAGAAGCAGTATCCAAACGACGCTTCCTTCACAAGAGCCGTCATTGTTATCTATGAAGCATGGCGTATCAGAGGGTTTTTTTTTTTTTTTTTTTTATAAACATTGCTATATCACAGCCTATGCTGTGAGATGTGAACAGGATGCTTTATGACCATGCACGTGCGAATTAAAATGGATGGCTTTGAAGACGATTTGCTCAGAAATACAGAATTTCAATTGATGGGAACAGTAACTATTTAACTTCATACAGACGGCGCGATTCCATGTCGGTCGAAATAATTTAACTGACTATGGAATCAGGCTGTTAATAGTATACGTTCATACATAATATAAACTAGGAAGAACTAATAAAAAAACATACAGGACAACGTCGAGATATGGCGGAAAAACAGATAAAGCTAGAGAAAAAATAACTAAGAATACCGAACCCCATTTCCAGTAGATCAAGCGAAGACCTAAACTATATCAGGCCATATCTTAAAAGCTTCTTCCATAGCAGTAGTAATTAATGCTGTTCAAAGCTTACTCACGATATAGCAGTTTTGGTAAGAATTTATACGAAAACTGTGTGTCGCAAGGTGAATCATTGATGTTTACTGAATTACGGCATCGTGGTTTTTCGTGCACGCACATTTACAAAACAGCTAGGAACTCTGTAAAAAAGAAATTCGTTCGCTATCTATTACTGGCGAAATGGGAGCTCGCCTACATACATATGTCAAAGCCATGGAAAAGCACTAACAGGAACGTGAGGGAGCAATTTAGTCGGTAAATGGGTGCATAAACTGCTACATAAAGTGCATATAATCGATTGCAAAATAATTCCAATTCATCAACTGTGTTAATCGATAGCTGGCTTCTGCTACACAAGGCACGATACTTAGCTTCACGATACATTATGGGCTGGCGTTATTTAGCCGATTATAAAGTAATATTGTTGCTCGTTCATTGTAGACGAAGGTTGATTTAGCCTGTTTGCCTACGGCACGCCGATCTTCATCGACCCTTCGTTCATTGACGTTGCTTTGCTTACGGCAACTGTTCCGTATTCAAACAAACTAAGTGATGCTCCCATCACCGCCGTTAATAGATCAGCCTTCCGACTGATAGCTAGGACTGCTATTACTACGACTATTATTTGCTCACTGTCATTCGGCCGACTTCGACTGTCATTCATCAATCTCTTTGAACCCTTCGAACAGGCCCACGATCTGCAATCATGACAAAAAAACAATATGTATTGTGTGGTGTGCGCTCAATATCGTCATTGAAAACACGCAAATGTCACTTCAAGCAGACAAGTTGTGAGCGAAACGTCAAACAAGTAGAGGTGGCGCCACTGAATCAGACAGTGCCAGTACCGTTTTTATAGACGCGGGCATCATTCAACATCTGGTCGTCGAGTTAACGATCATTTTGCTTTGTACTTCTTACGAGAACTTGCCAAAGGCTGCAAATATAGTGTTCTTCTATGTTTGGTATATACTTGTAGCGTCAGTATCTCGTATTATGTTAGCCGCATATTTAATAAGGTGCATAGAACCGTGGAAAAGGAGAGCAAA